ACACTCTTTTAACTATATGAGGAACTGTAAAAAAAAAAATTATGGTTGCTAGGAAATGTGCTAATTAACCATGTTATCACTTCCTAGGAAGCAGAATCTTCAAAAAGACATCCATTCCGGAATTATAAAGACTTTTTTCCTTTTTAGGAAACTATGTTCCTATGGCCTTTTCCGTGCATTTGACGTGGTTTTGAAAAACGAAACGCGAATATTTGGAATGATTATGTAATCAATCACATGATCAAAAAGGAAATACCAGGAGGAGCAGTCGGTCTATTTCCCTTTGATAATGCTCCTAGTCATCAGAAGCGTGCAGCAGACGCCCTCTCCGCCAGAAAGATGCCCAAGGGACCAAGCCCGACATGGGGCCAATCACCCAAAATGCAACCAGGAACATTACCTGGAGGAGCTCGTCAGGAATTCTATTATCCTGACAATCATCCAGAAATGCCTGGATGGTTCAAGGGTATGCAGCAAATTTTGGAAGAGCGGGGGCTATTTCATAATGGCATGTTAGCTCAGTGTCCAGGTTTCAAATGTGATGCAGAAGCAACCAGCTGTTGTTGCCGCAGAACTCTATTCAATCAGCCTGACTTTATCAACCAGAAATCTGCACTTCAGGAACTTGTTGAAAGCCGTGGTCATATTTGTGACTTCTATCCTAAATACCACTGTGAACTGAATTTCATTGAAATGTACTGGGATGCGGCAAAATTCAAGTATCGAAAGTCCCCCAGCACCAAGAATATTGAGGAGATGGAAGCAAATGTCAAAGGATGTCTGGATGAAGTCCCTCAATTGTTTATTCTTCGGTTTTCCAATAGAGCAGTCCGGTTTATCTCAGGTTATTATCTTGGCTGCACTGGGAAGGATTTAGGTTATCTACAGAAGGAATACAAGAGTCATAGGATGCTGCCTTATAATGCAGTAACATTAATGAAACAGTCTGTACAAATGTAGTTTTTTTACTCTATAAAATACATTTTTTTTTTGCCTCAATTTAATTTAATTTTTTTTGCAACTCGAGATTTGGAATGTCACGTCACGCTTGCCACGGCTTACATAAGGGTGCTAGGTTCCCACGCTCTCCACCTTAAGTAGAGCAGGATAAAAACAAATAAAAAGGCAGCACCGACCTGGATGTGGGCATATTGAGGAAGGCAGGCGCACACCAGGTGCTATCAGGCATTGTCCTACCTGCGGCTGCTTTAAAGTTCAACATGCATGAATAAAATAAAAATAATCTCCCGAAGTAGTAGGACTGTTGAGATAGGCCTGTTGAACAAACCATGTGGAGAGCCGAGTATGCCAATGCGCGGGAGAGAAGCCAACTTCTGGAAAAAGGATTATACTTCATTGAACAGCGTGAAAAAGGTAAATCTCACTGCAATAACCACCCGAATTGAACGGGGGCCTCCTGCCTGCACCTAACTCAAGTTCGCATAAGGAAGACATGTGCACACCATATGCTATCAGGTGTTCCCTTGCTTACTTACTTCCAAACCTCAACAGGTGTGTGCATGCACAAAAATCAGTGAACATGAATGATGAAACCCGAACAAGTTTGAACGGAGTGAACTCAATTTGCTGTGGAAAGGAAACTATGTACCCCGGAAGAATGGATCAAATTCCAGTGAGTAGAGCGGGATAAAAGATAAAATAAATAGAAGCGCAGCAATGAGTCCTGATCATCTAACCCCGAATTGAACAGGGACCGCCTGCCTACATCTGGATGGTGGCTCGATTTTACAGTAATTGCTGTGGAGAACTACCCCGAGAGAATGCATATTCCAGTAAGTAGAGCGGGATAACAAAAACAAAAAAAGGCAGCACCGAAGTTGGATCACCTGACCCGAATTGAACGGGGGTGTCCTGCCTACACTTGAAGGCAAGGGAGGCAGGTGCACACCATGTACTACCAGGTGTTCTCTCACCGAGTTTAAAGCCTTAATAAATATAAGTTACAATGACTAGAATTAGTCTTTCGTTCTTATATTGCTCTTCACCCCACAAAAGGCCCGTAAGGCTGCCGCCCGTGCCCGTGACGGACACGGCCGTGGAATTCACGGTACTGGCACGGCACGGGCCGTGAACTCGACGGCCGTGGGAGGGGGGGTCAAGACCTTGAACGGGACGGCACAGTCGACGGCACGGCCGTGACGGGTCAACGGATCGGTAAAATCTCGAGGGGCCTTCTGGAGACACATTTTCTTGCACATTTTGTTGGGTTTGACTTTGTTCATCGGTTTGGAGTACGTTGGATGCTGCAATGCGCAGAAAAACACTCATCTGAGCCTAATTTAGTGCTGGGAATTGAAGTGAAAGTTATTTAACACCTTCTTGGAAGGTGTACACTTGCCCCATGTCTCAAAATCAATCCCCATATTATTTCCGGTGATTTGGCGTTGTCGAAAGATTGAAGTTCAAAATTACAACTCCGCCATCAGTTTCGGAAATTGCCGTTTGAGCTCGAGCCCAACCAAGTCTTAGGGGCCAGGGAAAAGCTAGTTGGTTTGGTAACACTGGAGTATAATTGTAAGCTTATAATCGGTTCAATTAACAGACTAATACTGGCTGAAACGAAGGATTTGGGTAGTCTCGTAAACCAGACTTTATACCGGGCGACCGAGAAGACAATTGTTCTCGGTGACCTATATAAAGTCTGGGCTTTGATGGGGGGTAGGTCTGAGACTCGACCATCAATGATGCTGAGTTTGAAAATGCGTGATTGATGCCATATCGAAGCGGTCCGCGTGGGGTTTGCGCAAACTATGACTTGTGGCGTTCTCCTTTTTCCCTGGTTCGGGAGTACCTCTCACGTAGTTTAATCAACCATAAATTTGCCAAGGTCTCAAAGGAAGAATCAGACTTATTGACTGCCTGTGCTCGTGACCACGCGATTCATGATCTCGGCACGACTACCGACTGGGCTAGAACCGTCCCGAGAGGTTCGCCGTGGGTCCCTGTCGAGGTTGAGAGCTCTAGCTTGAATTCCAGCACAAAAAAGAAGAGGAAACCCGGCAAAAAAACCGCCGCCAAAGGGAAGAAGGAGAAACCTCCGCCGCCACGGTGCAAAGGAGATTTCGTTCTCGCGCAGGCTATAGACTTCATCCGGGATGGTATGAACTCGCGCAAAATCACTACAGCTATTGCTGAGGGGGACGTTGGACGTGTGTATGAGTGCTTGAAGGTGAGTGTCAACTATCCAAGATACTTTTTACATTTGTTCATGAACGTAACCCAGTACATGCTATTCACGTTCGCCGGGTCGACTCATACCAACTACAAGGGTTACTTGCTCGAAACCATAATGAATCTAGAGCTTGAGTCCAGCCCCGACCTTCGGATCGCCCTTCTCATGTGCCTGCTTGTAAATCTCGAAGGGGGAGCTGGCCAGTTCGAGGAGGGGGACTATGTCGTCGAGTTTTTCAACAGACTTCTTGAAGATATATCTCACCACAAGAATGCCCAATTCGATGACAGCTTCATTCGGAACATCGTTTCACGGAATCTGCTTCACATCGCCGAGCTGAAGCGGGCCTGGCGCACGAGCACGGGCATGGCCGCCAAGTCACATGTACACTCGGACCCTCACACCAAACCCAAAATGCAAATCTTGCTCAAGCTTTACCGCACTGAGCAGTTACATTCGAGGCGTTTAGGTCGGCAGATTGATGACCGTGATACTGATAATTTTGCCAAAGGTGTCAAAAATTTGCGCGAAGGTGGTCTTCAAAAATATATTGACAAGTCGCTGCGCACTCGACAGAGAAGCCGAACAACTACAGTGCCTACTACCACCCGCATCCATGGGGATAGTTCCGACGACGATGCCGAGGATGAGCATCCCTCAGACGAGTCTGACGACGACTCTGAGCCTGAGCCAGGGGAATTTTATGCAACACGGGGTTCCGTGGCAGTGGTGGATGGGGAGCTCATAATGGATGAGAGGGACATGATGGAAGGTCCGGTGGAGGAGATATTTGGAGATCCGGACAGCGAGGATGATGATGCAGACAGCGACGCAGAAGCTACTTCACAATAAATATGAGTTGGTCGGGATTTGAAAGGAAAGAATATTCATACCTTTAGCGGCTTTGGTTTCCGCCGCCTTGTCCCGTTTCATCTGAGCAAATGTCGCTCGAAGTTCAATTATGACCCCGTGCAACGCCGCATGTTGATCTCGCATTCCCGCGATGTCTTTAACGATAGCGGTGAGGTCTTCAATTGTTAACAGCAACGCAAACCTGGACAGAATTAGTCAGGAAACTTCACGGAAAGTACAAAACAAACTTGTCAAGAATTAACCGAATAATGTGGTCGGGAAGGAACTCCGCAAGAGGAGTAAGACTAGAGCTCTGCTCAGCCTCGGACCAAACGGCGAGGCGAAACTCTTCGAGGCGAGCTATCCCAACCTCCTTCATTGGTTTGGTGAGTCGTTGTGATTGTGGAATCAAGTTTGGTGTGGTCTTTTTGGCCTTCGGTTGGGGAACGTAGACCTCTGTTGAGACCTCAGGTAGACAATCGCTGCAGCGGCAGGAGACGGGGCGGGAAGCGGGAGGTAAGGCGACACAGGTACGGCAGGTGCAGGGGATATCAGAGATCAGATTCCCATACAATTTGTCCTGGATGAAAGGTTTGCACCGTCCAGAGATAATCTCCGCAACCGGACGGTCCATGGCAACTGCTCCGTCCTTTTTAGTGTCAGCAGCGTTGTAAGCTGTCACTTTGTGATGCGCTCCGAACGCAGCCAAACGGGAGGAAAATCATACTTTCACAATGGCGACTCCGTTGGAGAGCACCTCGGTGTCTCAGGCAGAGAAGAGCCAACGGGGCTCGCAGCGGGAGGGTGGAAGCAGGAAGAAACCCAGATGTATTGCCGATGACAGCTGTCCGAACCTAACAACTAACTACTAACTACCCCATATATCCAGGGCACCGCGAGACACACCACACCGTATCCAAGAATATGACAAGCCATCGTGTCGCTCCGAATAAAAAGGCCAGACCCCGAATCGAACGGAGACCTCGCGAGTAAACGTTGCAGGTGCTATTCATCTCGCATGCGTTACCATTCCGCCACCTGACCGTGATACAAAATGATACGGAGCTGGAATAAAATGATACGGACCGGAATTAAAAAGTCACTGGATTAAACGGACGGCCAGACTCCGAATCAAACGGAGACTTTGCAAGGAAACCTGCGGTGTTTGTATTCGTCTCACATGTGTTATCACTCCGCCACCTGGCCGTGATTAGGGCAGGGGAGCCTCGACAAACGGACAAAAAGAATGAGACAGAACCAACACTAATTGTTCAAATGCGCGTTCACTCAAAACTCGATGGCACTCACTAAAAAATGAAACGGGGCAAAAGCATTTTCGTGATGGTGCATCAGTGGCCAGACTCCAAATCGAACGAAGACCTCGCGAGCATACATTGGTCAACATATACGAAGGGTGTGGGCGCTACCGTTGCGCCACCTGGCCGGTGCTAAGGAGAGGGAAACGAGGGAGCAAACGGAAGACAGAGTGGTTGCGGTATGGGAAACGGAGCGACTAAACAGAGAACGCAGGTGGTTCTTGGGAAACGGGGCGACTGAAACGGGAAACAGAGGCGACACGAGGCTGCTCCGAGTCAATTTCTAACCCCTTCAGAATCAGGAACGCGTGGACAATCACAAGAGGCAAGTCAGAACTGAAAAGGAGGAACGTCTGTTTCCAATTAAAGGTATAAGTACACACGCGAGTATCGGACGGAGTACGGTATAAAAGCCAGCTGTATGATATGGAATGATCATCTTATTACCTCCCACTGCATATACCTCCCCCTAAAGTACACCAGGGTGGGGAACTAAATTACAGCTCTTTTCAAAAAAGTATACCAGTTTGATCGCGCGGTGGGGCCTCAGATTTGTTGACCGCTGTTTGGCCGTGAGTCTCCTTCTGTCCCCTTTCGTCTCCGTTCCGCTCCACAATCCCTCGTCATACCCTTCAACACGGTGTTGTGACTCCACTCAACTCCACACTCTACGCGAGCCTTAGCACAATGTATTTAACCTCCCAACTACTGCCCCCAATAATACATGCAACAAAACAACAATAACCCTCTGCATTACCGGGACCACATCTGGAAAACAGCGGTGGTCTGAAGCTGCCTGTGGCAGGTAAAACAGGTAAACCAGACCCACAGACTGCCCCCCGACTATTGCAGACACGGGCTTCTGTTACAGACCTCCACAGACCGATAGTGCCGCAGGCATTCAGACCATCAGACCGCTGCAGGCACCTGCAGACACCGATCTCGGCTAACAATCTACGAATTCCCACCACGTTAAAACAGGTTAAAACTATTTCCGGCTCAAACGATACGTTCCATGTGGTGGTGAACCGTGAATCACAGATTTTTATTGCAGTACGTTGAACGATTAGAAGAGGGTATGTCAAAAATTAAATTTCTCAGTACAAAGTTGTGATATAGAGCTACTGTATTATAAATTTATAGTACGGGACCTGCGAGGCGTGGTCAGTTGAGGCGTGGTCAGTGGAACATTATTTGGCGTGGTCTCAAAGGGAACATAAGAGAAGGAACTTGGGCTATGCTGAGAAGAAGTGAACTACCTTTCTCAAGTTGAGCTTACCATGTTGACATGACTTGAAGGAACTGGCAAAGAAGCTAATCTCGGGGGAGTGCAGTGGGCAAACCAGCGGCTCAACCGATGGCGAGAGAGGCCTTTATACAATATCGGTTGAATATCGGGGGACATTTGAGGTATTTTTGATGAGACAAGAGAACCCGCACAAAATCAGCGTCGACACGAGAGATCGACGTCGGATAAACGCGATCCATGTGTTTCGCGTAGGCTCGCTGTTTGCCGGCGGTCTGCTTGTACGTGATCGTGTCTGTCTTGGTCTGCAAGTCTGTAGTGCTCTGTATCAGAGAGGCAGGTCTGCGGCAGATAAGCCATGTCTGCTTCCACAAAAAGGTGTTTCCAGATGCATACCCACCAGCAGGACGGCTGGACTGTGCTCGTGCCGCCTGCTGGTGCCGCTGCTGGGGCCCCTCTGTGAATTACTGTTTTCTTGGTGTCAGAAGAGATATCTTGCTTGTTTCCGCGCGCCATGGTAGTGTGAAGCAGCGAGAGGCATCGAGAGAGCTTGGAGCATTAGCCGATGAAGTGACGAGAGTGTGGAGCGGAACGGAGACGAAAGGGGACAGAAGGAGACTCACGGCCAAACGGCGGTCAACAAATCTGAGGCCCCACCGCGCGATTAAACTAGTATACTTTTTTGAAAAGAGCTGTAATACACTTCGCTACGGGTCATGCCGCCCAATAGTAGGACAAACCAAGGTCACCTAAAAAGGCCAGGGCTTGTCAAGAAACCCCGTCCGTCTCACCTCCGCTTCGATAAAATTGATACGGAGGAAATATAGTCAATCCGGAGTTGAAAGCGCGCGGTAGTAGATTATGCGGCACACCACCAAACAGCCAGTCACCTAACTTGGCTTCGTGCAACCGTTCCTTTCAAATTGTATATGGAAGGCCTATCCTACACGTTCATACCATTTCCCCCATCCAATTTGCACACTTCACCCCCGAGTCTTCAAAACGGAAGTGACTCATTTCAAGGCGTTCACCAAACGGAGAAACCAGGCTACGAAGGGAATCACTATAGCCGTCCGTATAGTGTTACACAGTGCTGAAGAGACCTGCCGTCTGATACGTTCGAGACGGGTGGATAAAGCATAACAGATAACCTGAGTACTCCGGAACGGAACAGCATTTGCATTGCGGAGTGAACCCTTCGAGCAAGTGTAGAAAACTATCCATCCGCAGTACCTTTGGAAGGCCAGCCCCAAACGAAGAAATCTTCGAGGAACCTGGCAAAGTGTTCAATCCAAACGGAGTGAACTGTACACATACACACCACAAATTATATATCGCGCATTAGTGTACCTTTAACTACGCAGCTCCGTGACAGAGCAATTTCCTCCTAGAGGACAAATTAAATTCTGTAAAAACAACTACTTGACTATACCTACCCTGGGTCAGGCAGTTCACAGAACCGCAGTCCGCATCACAGCGTTCTCGGCGTCAGACTGGGAAATGATTTTGATGGCCTTGGCCACCCAAAGCGCAGAGATGTAGAAGATTGCCCGTGGATTCTCGGCATTCAGCCCAGCCCTTCCAGGCTTCTGAATGAACATCTCCGCGCTCTCAGGTTCCCCGACCTGGATCACGGTTCTGACAGCAGAGATGTCGTTGCCCTGTGCGAGGCCATTTGTGCAGACAATGATTTGGCACCCTGGATTGGATTTGAAGAGCTCAATGGTCTCGAGATTCTCCTCCGGCCAGTTGATCGAATGGTACACGCGGATACGAAGATCGCGATCCACATCTTCTGCGCACTGAGAGTCGAGATAGATTTTAATCCGGAAGACCAAGCTGATTGTTGCACCGAAAATCAATGTTTTGTCGGAGTTCCGGAGGACCCACACCAACTCGGGGAAGTAAAGGCCATCAATCCCCGAGTAGAGGGTGCGAAAGAGGATCTGGATGTCATGTTGCGCTCGACCGCCGGAGGAGATAAAATTCCCCGCAGTTGACAGGAAAGTCGAAGATGGCATCAGCAATTGTTGGATCCGCCAGAAGTGTCGCGGTAAGTCCAATAATCGGAATCCCGGCGCAAAAGCGGGCCCACATGAAACCAATCTGTGTGAATGCTTTTCGAAAGCCCAATCCCCACATAGCCAGCAGGTGAATCTTGTCAACTCCGAGGTCACAAACGCGGTCATAAAATGCCTCGCACTTCAGCAAGTCTTGAAATCCTTTGGAAATCAGCTGCTCGGGACCCAGGATCAACATTGAAATGCCCTCGCGAGCCTTCTTCCACAGATCTTCGCTGCGGATGCGTGCAGCCGTGACCGTGTCTGAATTGATCATCAGCGCATGAATGCCGAGTTTGGCCATGTTCTGCTCCTGTGGAAGATTTAGCTGGCGGGTATAGTAGATATCAATACGACCTACCATCTGTTGCTCAATTGAATTCGTAGGGCACACAACAACAATTGCTGGGTCCTTCGGGAATTTCACACCCGGACACAAAGATGGGTTGCGTGGGATAGCTATCATGACAAGGATTGTCAAGAAAAGGAATCCTGTTTTGCCGGACCCCGTGGGTGTAACTGCAACGAGGTCAATTTTATCCAGAACTTTGCAAACTCCATCCAGTTGGTAGGTATGCGGCTCAAAGGTGGGGAGGGCTGCGAGGAGGATTTTCGGACCAAGGCAAAGCCCACAGGGGAGTGAAAGGTGAAGCTGTAGGCAACAAGTGGACCATAGAGCAGGAGGACCACAAAAAGTAGCGGTAGCGGGTTCATTGCCGCGCAGTAACAGAGAACGCATCTCGTCGTATGTGGGGTTATTTGGATGTCACGCTTTTGATCTCAATGCCGAATCGCGACCTACGGTATTAACCTATCAATCAAATCTAGACTAGATTGCGGTACGCCCTCCACGATGGTTCCCTGGGTCAGAACTCGGAATGTGATGATGAGCTGGGATGAGCTGGAATATGTCACGCCTCCGTGATGGTTGTAGATCTGGCCCGGGGTAAAAATAAAAAATATAAACAAGGACGCCAGTATGCAGCAGCATTTTATGATCGTGAATGGTTGACTTCCCATAAGATTAGAAATATGTTCTCAGATTTCTTTCAAATTTCCGGCAAGGATGCCGAGGCAGCTGTCAGGACCCCATCGGACTTGGATCTCATTAAACATCGCTTTTCCGTTCCAATAAACCTTAAATTTATCCTAATCTGGAGAGGGGTACCCCCCCCCCCCCCCCCTCTCCAGAATATAATAGAAGAGAATAAACACTTTTGCCAACTCCTCCGCCTCAATTGGGCGATGTGTCACGACCGAATCGGACCGACACAACCCATCAATCTCATGGCACCCCGTTGAAAGGGTGGCTCAGTGTCTATGGCTGAGAAGACGGATGCTCTGAGAATCGACGGGACTGAATGCAAGCTTCTAAGTGATGCAGAAACAACACTAAAAACCCACAACAACCAACCAAAACCC